TCCTGGCGACCCCCATGGAGGTGGGAACCCCCCCCCCCCCTCCCCCAGATCAGGGGGAATCTTGAGAGATAGATTTTCAAATTGAGTTGATAATTTTCTTGCATTACATTACTTTAATGCACTTTCCTCCCCCCCCCCCCAATTTTTTCCTGGATCCGCCCCTGCACGCCTGATGTTGCATCTGTTGCAGGGTGGCAAATTGCAACGGGCTAAAGATTTTAAGAGCGAGCAAGGCGGGGACGCTGAATGATGGCAGCAAAATCAGGGCGGCGACAACGGCCTGTCGGAAAAAATCGTGCACGTCAGACCGCAGGGATGAAGAGCGCCGCCTACTGTCCGAGAGAGTCCATGAGTGTCCGCTTTTGACAGTGCCCCTATGGTAGCAGACCAGTAAATAAACTTTCATAGACCCCAATGGTAAATGCTCCCTCTTCAAAAATTCGGGAAAAATAATCACAACTCTCCAAGGTGTTCGAGACACACATCAAATTCAAGCTTATTTCATCATCTTTCATTTACTTTCCAATTTTTGACTTTTAGGAGAAATTTCCATCTGAAGATGATCACCCCTAAAAATAGTCCTGAAGCCCCCCTCTAGAAAAAGTCCTGGCTACGCCCATGGAGGTGGGGGACCCCCTCCCCCAGATCCGCGCCTGCAGCTCTTCGATCGTTTTGCGCAACACATGTTCGAGTAGTGTGCAATGACATCGGGGATGACCCTGCATTTCTTCAGAAGCTTTCGGCAGCAGCACGTGCCTTCCGCTGCCGTCTCCTGCAAGGCTAACCCCTTGCAATTGTTGTCAATTTTGGTCCAAAAATGAAATTGCTCCAAACTTCCTGGAAAGACTCCTTAGGGACCCTTGAACAAACTCCAACTCGATTCCGGGACAGATATATCATTAAAAAGAAATTCATATTTTAGCCAAATTTTATGAAAAAGTGTAAGGCTAATCCCTTGCAATTTATGTCAATTTCGGTCCAAAAATGAAAATGCTCCAAACTTCCTGGAAAGACTCTTAAAAGACCCTGGAACACATTCCAACTCAATTTAGGGACAGATATATCATTAAAAAGAAATTCATATTCTGGCCAATTTTAATGAAAAACCCCTGCCCCCCTCTTTAACTGATAAATCGAGAATTTGTTGAGAAAGACAAGAATTGTTTGGGAAACATTTCTTTGCCCCCGTTAGAAAAAGTCCTGGCGAACCCCATGGAGGTGGGGACCCCCCCCCCCCCTCCCCCAGATCAGGGGGAATCTTGAGAGATAGATTTTCAAATTGAGTTGATAATTTTCTTGCATTACATTACTTTAATGCATTTTCCTCCCCCCCCCCCAAATTTTTTCCTGGATCCGCCCCTGCACGCCTGATGTTGCATCTGTTGCAGGGTGGCAAATTGCAACGGGCTAAAGATTTTAAGAGCGAGCAAGGCGGGGACGCTGAATGATGGCAGCAAAATCAGGGCGGCGACAACGGCCTGTCGGAAAAAATCGTGCACGTCAGACCGCAGGGATGAAGAGCGCCGCCTACTGTCCGAGAGAGTCCATGAGTGTCCGCTTTTGACAGTGCCCCTATGGTAGCAGACCAGTAAATAAACTTTCATAGACCCCAATGGTAAATGCTCCCTCTTCAAAAATTCGGGAAAAATACTCACAACTCTCCAAGGTGTTCGAGACACACATCAAATTCAAGCTTATTTCATCATCTTTCATTTACTTTCCAATTTTTTGACTTTTAGGAGAAATTTCCATCTGAAGATGATCACCCCTAAAAATAGTCCTGAAGCCCCCCTCTAGAAAAAGTCCTGGCTACGCCCATGGAGGTGGGGGACCCCCTCCCCCAGATCCGCGCCTGCAGCTCTTCGATCGTTTTGCGCAACACATGTTCGAGTAGTGTGCAATGACATCGGGGATGACCCTGCATTTCTTCAGAAGCTTTCGGCAGCAGCACGTGCCTTCCGCTGCCGTCTCCTGCAAGGCTAACCCCTTGCAATTGTTGTCAATTTTGGTCCAAAAATGAAATTGCTCCAAACTTCCTGGAAAGACTCCTTAGGGACCCTTGAACAAACTCCAACTCGATTCCGGGACAGATATATCATTAAAAAGAAATTCATATTTTAGCCTAATTTTATGAAAAATGTAAGGCTAACCCCTTGCAATTTTGTCTATTTTGGTCCAAAAATGAAAATGCTCCAAACTTCCTGGAAAGACTGTTAAGGAGCCCTCGAACACATTCCCACTCGAATATCTAGGGGTTAGATGGTAAAATTGTGAACAATTTTTTTTTGTAAAGTCAAGTTTCATCTATCTTTGACGTACTGTTAGAGGGCGTCCTTGCAAGTAATGACGTTATCATGCCCGGTGTTTGACATTCCTCACTGATTATTTGCTTAACTTATATAACTACATGTAGTAAACTGCTTTCATTTTCAAGTGATATTCAATTTTCATTGCGCTTCCCGGTAACACCGGAGGTAACGCGTCGATAACAAAATAGTGCTCTAGACACTCTGATCTCTAGCAACTGGTCACATTGAACAAATGAGAACGGTTCTCCACTCCGTGTGAAAAGTTACAGTTCAAAGTATTTTTTTTTAATTTGGATATTATATCGATTATTAACACTAGATTACAGAACAGGCAGACATACAAGTATTATTTTTTGGGGGTGTCACAGCAGGTAGGGGTTTTCGCATTATTTTTTAGGAGTTTGTATGATAATTTTTTTTTTGGACAGAGCTGGGTTTGTTTTTTTGGCCCCCCAACCCCCCTCCGGATCCGCGCCTGTACATGTAGTAGGCCTATATATCAGTGGCAGATCAAGCATTTACTGGAAGGGGGGGGGGGGGGCGCCAAAAATGGAGGCGAAAGCCGAACATACAAGTGGGGCATATATTTGCTCACGCGGGTGAACATTTCTGTCTTTGAAGTGATTAAATAACCAGCAGAATTTGCCAGCAGAAGGAACAGGAGAAGAAATAGGAAGTACATTTTGTACCTCCTTAAAAAAAAATGAGAATAGGGGAAGGGTGGGGGGGGGGGGGGGGGGGGGCGGCTCCTCCCCTGTAGATCTATTATACTGTACATCAATCAAATTATTTCAAAGGAATTTGGCGCTGGCATCACCTGCGGACCGATACTTCAGAAACGATAGTGGTTCACGGTTTGATGATGGAAGTGTCTTGAACATGAACACCCATTGCATGAGAGCACTTTTACATAACCTAAGCAAGTCAAGAAGGGTAGATTTGTCAAGCAAGGTCTCGAAACTATCAATATTTATTCCAGTGAAAAATAAACTGAAAATGTTACAATTCAGTACTATATACGTTCGAAAAGACTATGTTTCTCCACTAATATGAGTTGATGTAAAAGTCTAGGCGGGATTTTAATTAGCAATGAAACATAACAAATTCTACACTGTTTTTTTGACAGAATGATGTTACATCTAGAGAGGTCGATATTTTGAGCTAAAATAAACATGCCAAAAACCTGATAATTATGCAATAATAATAATAATAATATCGGAGTCTTATATAGCGCACGTATCTACCAACAATTAGGTACTCAAAGCGCTGGAAATTATGTCTATTATTAAAGAAAGGCAAATAAAGTTTATGAGAAATATGAGACCCAGTATGTAGCACCTTATAATGGTTTACAAGGTACTGCGGCGCATATTGCAGCCACTGCCAGAAACACCGGGGCAAACCCCTTCTCTAAGCGATAAGTGTTACTGGGTTCTTTAACGTGCATTACACAACACACGGGACCTACGGCTTTACGTCCCATCCGAAGGACGAAGCAATAATGGTAAAGTGCCTTGCTCAAGAGCACAAGCACCATGTTCCCACGGTCAGGATTCGAACCCATGTACCACGGCACACGAGTCGAACAACGTAACCATTGGACCACAGCACCCCACAGCAAGAATCTTCTTAAAATAAAATTTGGCACAGTTCTAAAAATAAAATACAAGTACGGGTAAAATCAACTGAATGCTTTTCAAACTCAAATAAAAACATTCATATTGAGACTCTTTTTGCTCTCCTATCAAACCAGGATTTAAAGTTGGATCAAGGAATGATTTTGACAAATGAAAAGATAAAAACATCCATTAAATACATCAATAAAAGTAAAGATATACAATATTTGTTGAATCTCGGCTTGGCTAAAATGTACAAAGACTACTTCTGAAGCAAAAACAAACTTGTAAGCATACCACAAAACAAACGAACAATTGGACTGATTAATGAAGATGGTTAAACTTATATTCTATACAGTTAAGTCCCAAAAAATGCGTCCGTCTGACTTTTTTTTAAATAACTACAAAACCATGAAGTCAATTTTAAAATTTGTGGATTGTGCAGATACTCCTTGGCCTAAACCTCTAAGAGTTTCATTTAAATTTCAGCCGCGCATCACTATACGATTGTCAATTGATCACAACAACATTTTTGAACCCGGACACCAAGTTCCTTGCCTTAATCAATTTCAGTGCTGTGTTATGTCAGCTGTGTAAAATCCTGCATGTTGTGAAAAAAATCCACCAAAATGGAGGGATAGATTTTGATGGAGTGGATAGGGTTAAGTTATCTATGTTTCAAAAAACAAATTGATGTATGCACTCCTCACTCGCCTACCAAGTAAATGTGAGAAGGCAATTCCACGGTTACTCACGTTACATTTTTGATGTACTTTTGAGTTTCCTTGGGCTGTAATTACCTTACTGAAAAGGTTTAATAACTGTTGTACCCATGGTAGATAGAGTAGACCTAGACCTACCTAAGCACAGTACATGCCAAAGATGACATCCAGAAAAATGTGTTATGTATGATAACAAGATGCACAAAATCGGTTACTCACGTTACATTTTCGTAACGTGAGTAACCAATTTTGTGCGTCTTGTTTATCATACATAACACATGATTCTGGATGTCATCTTTGGTGCTTAGGTAGGTCTAGGTCTACTCTATCTACCATGGGGATAACAGTTATCAAACCTTTTCAGTACGGTAATTACAGCCCAAGGAAACTCAAAAGTACATCAAAAATGTAACGTGAGTAACCGACACCGTTTTGGGACAAGAGTTGACTCTAGTCGAGCACCGTAACTTACTCGTTCATGGTGAAGTCACAAAAGGGTGCTAGACAGGGTGTCCCAAAGGGCGGGCCAGACAAAAGATGAGCTGTGTACTTAAATACGCCCCTTGTTGGCGAGCTCACTCATGAGCTTGGCATTGTACGCGGCATGTTTCTTCTGCAATTCTTCATCGTCGACGGCACTTTTGGCCCAGTAGGTCAATCCCAGGGCCGGCCTCCAACGCTCCTTGGACCTTTTTTTACGAGGATAACATAAAATAAAGTTCAATATGAATGACCGACTCATAATGAAATCCGACAAAAAAAATGTTTTCATTAAAAACAAATTCATACTTACTTGTTTTCTCCTGCTCTGTGAACCATGTAAGGATGGTGACCCAGCAGAGTTCCTACACAGAGGAAATATAGCGTAAAACACAATCAACAAGTCACTTAATTATGCTGAGAAAAGATTAGGGCAATTCATTCGAAAAATATAACTCAACTCCTTCTGTGTTTCAATTAACTTTCCACATACATGTACTTTGTAATTTACCTACTCAAAACCTACTGATATGTCTTGTGACCTTCAAACCTTCTTATGACCTACTGACCTATCTTATGACCTACTGACCTATCTTATGACCTTCTGACCTATCTTATGACCTACTGAACTTCCATGTCACCTACTGACCTCCCATGACTTAACTGACCTTTCTTTTGACCTCCTGACCTACCTTATGACCATCTGAACTTCCATGTCACCTATGACCATCTGAACTTCCATGTCACCTTCTGACCTCTCTTGCCCTACTGACCTCCCATGAAACTGACCTTTCTTTTGACCTCCTGACCTATGTTATGACCATCTGAACTTCCATGTCACCTACTGACCTCTCTTGCCCTACTGACCTCCCATGACTTAACTGACCTTTCTTTTGACCTCCTGACCTATGTTATGACCATTTGAACTTCCATGTGACCTATTGACCTCTCTTGCCCTCCTGACCTCCCATGACTTAACTGACCTTTCTTTTGACCTCCTGACGTATGTTATGACCATTTGAACTTCCATGTCCCCTACTGACCTCTCTTGCCCTACTGACCTCCCATGACTTAACTGACCTTTCTTTTGACCTCTTGGCCTACCTTATGACCATCTGAACTTCCATGTGACCTATTGACCTCTTTTGCCCTTCGGGCCTCCCATGACTTAACTGACCTTTGTTTTGACCTCCTGACCTACCTTATGACTATCTGGACTTCCATGTCACCTATTGACCTCTCTTGCCCTACGGGCCTCCCGTGTCACTTACTGACCTTTCCATTGACCTCCTGACCTTCCTTGTGATTTATCAGCCTACTACTTCTTGCAACTTCCCAACTGCTAGAAACTGCATCTTAGCCTCTTGGCTTTCTCGACCTCCCACTGACCTCCCTGTGACCTACTGACCTTTCTTGGCTGGCATCACATTCTCGGTCTCTTTCATCCAGTCTTCGTACTCCACCAGCGCCTGGCTGAAGCCCAAGGCATCTGTCTTACGGTGTTCAAGCTCTCCTTTCCTATCGGACTGCGGGACATAGTACATGCAGCCATTTTCAGCATCCGCGTCATCCAGGGCAAGCCAAAACGTAATGCCTAATGGATCGAAACAGATTGAGACATGTTACATCAAACTGTAATCTGTTTACATGGTTTGTTCTTGAATAACCTTGGGGGAAGGCCCATATGTAGCCACCCAATTCATGTACACCCTCTAAAATTACAAGTCTCAATTTGAGCTTAGCATCAGAATTCCATCAAATTTTGTTGATCATCTAAAAAAAACAACATTATGAATGTCCCTCAAAATAGCCGAACTTTCTCAAAAAGCAAGTCCAGAAAAAGTGGTCACATATACTGGAAATTTTTCAACCACTTAAATATCCACGTACACGGCACATAAATAAGACTTGAATTCGGTATGTTTGCGATTTATGGGAACTACAATGCAGGCTACTCAGACGACAGAGTGTAACATTGTCAACAAATACCACTTCAGAAACTTGAGGGGTGTTGCCTGTCCTTTGTACGATTTAAACTTAGTCGGGTGTCAAATCTAGAAAATATGAGCCTTAGCAAAAACCAACCTTTATCATGCATGAAGTATTTGCCATCTTGATGTGCAGGGGTGCATTTGGCTCCCGGTGGCTTGGAGAAATATTGCACATTGTTGGGGATGCACTTTTCACCCAAGAGCAAGTCAGCCAGCCCGTTGAAAGCAGGCGATTCTCCCAGATCCTGGGAAGAGGGTCAAAGGTCAAAGAAAAAGAAAGAAAATCAACCCACGAGAATCAGGTGAGACTTAAAGATATAGTCCATCATTCATGTCATTTGTGAATTGTGCATTTTGTTCGTTTGAAGCAACAAAAGTGCTCAAAATCTAAATCAGGGTACTGAACAACTAACCTGATGAAGTTTCAGCTCAGCTTCTGCTGTATATTCCGAGAAAACAGCATTCTAGGATCTCAATTTCAAATCAAAAGTAGCTGAATCATGTTTTAAATTTGGCCTGAATTCAGCGTCCGAGACACGTTCTCACTGAGCCAATTGCAGCTACGCGATGTCGCGCACTGAACCGACGAATTATAGCAACCGCGCGCGCGTGTGCATCGTGCCAATGCTTGCGCCCGCTTCGCCGAATAACAAAATGGTGCGTCTTAAGAAGCACCGTTGGAAAGGCCTTCTTTTGTTGATTACTTCAAAATGACAGCTTGCCAGAAAGAATAATTTCACAGGGAGTTTAGTCCCCTTACTATCTTTCAACCAAGTATGTTTTTCAACAATAATTACGCCAGTTACTTTTCAGATAGCTGCAAATGATTGACTATAGCTTTAAGTAACTTATGATGAAATCAACAACCAAAAAGGTACATGACTCACCAATTTACAATATAAGAACTGAATCATAACCTTGCTGAGAGATGTGTCAACTTTAATGATTATTCATGATGTTAAAGTTTTTGCTGATATTAATGGATTTTGTAATGTTGCATATACACTCATTTTTCTTTTAAGTTTTCGCTGATATTAAAGGGAATATACAACATTTGCAAACATCGAAAAAAAAAACTACCAAGTTTTTGCGAAATACCTTAATAGGATGTTGGTAAATGACAGTCTAAAGCATCCTGTAAAATGATGGCACCTGGTATACTGTCATTTTCAAGAAAAGTTGTATTTTTATATCAATTTCCAACGCTGATCGGCCGATCAGCGTTGGAAACAACTGGCTTTTTTTCAAATACTGGCCCCAATTGACCATTGCACTTGTTTGTAATCGATTACAAACCTATGAACGGGTACGAGCCAGCTAGACTGGTTCCCTGACCTTACAATTCCCCAATGTATGTAAACTGCTCTGTTTCTTCTTATATGGAGTCAGGGAGCCAGACTACAGGGAAATGATTGTTTTTCTTGGTTTTTATAGCATTTTCGAACCCAAAACCTCCAAAAAGTCAGTGTAACTATATTTGCTTTATATTTCCAACCCCCCAATTCCATCCATTTCTGAAAATTACAGCAAAAGCAAATGATGTATATTCCCTTTAATGGATTTTGTAGTACATTTATAAAGCATACCGATAAAGGCAGACTGGGACCGTGAGTGCAGAGAAACCTGACAAACAAATTCAGGCCAACTTTACTCACGCTTTACCCAACAAAATTCTCCAAAATTTTAATTCATAGGTAAAGACAAGTTCCCGCAGTATTTCACCTGCCAAGTTTGCGGTCTCACTGCAACTTTTAAAGGAGACTTTTCATCACCATTTTGCACCCGAGAGTGAAGCCAAGTGATTTAAATTTGAAGCCTAAGGCCAAAAAAGAAAATAAGTCGGTCTCTGGTCAGCGCGCGTGTCGATTTTTATCATGCGCGTCAATCTTTTTTTTTTCCAAAATGTTCCGCGGTAGCTCCAACAGCGCCCTCTATTGCCGCACCTCCTCAATTTTTTTTTTACCAAAGAGCACCAAGGAATGGGAAATTGCACCAAGGCAAATGATCGAGAGCACCAAGGCAAATTATGGAGGACACCAATAAACATGACACCAAAAAAGCAAAATAGTATCCCACCTTGTCTGTACAATCCAAGCTTGAAGAAAAAAGAAAGAAAAGCCAAACAAACAAAAAAAGCCGCGTCGCCGCGTCAATTCCAGAACTTTGGTCTGACCAGAGACCGAATATTTTTTTGGGGGGCCTAAGACTAGACTCGTACATGTCCAACTGTTTGAAAAGAATGACCTCTTCAGTAGTCTGGTAGCAGACTATGGAGAGATGTTTAGAAATAGAGACCGATACCAGATGTTTCTTTTGACACAATTGATCATGCAGTACTAAAGGGATGTTGGACTGGTTGTTTCATGTGCCAGTCTTTTTTCCTGTGTTGCATGTTTTCAAAGTTTTTGGACTCTCATACACAGTATGGAGAGTCCCAAATTTTCGGACTAGTCCACAGGCAATGTAAATATCATGTGGCACTAAAGAATGCTTACTGCACTAGCATATTTTATACAACACCTGAATAAATCCCTGTCATCTGATAGGTGGATCGTTGATCACATGCCATTGAATTATTCGTACCAACGCACGGCGCGAGCGTGGCGCGCAGCGCACAGTGCAATGGAAGTACTATTGCACGGTGAATAGAACTTCCTTTGCACGCTGTCACTGCTGCTGGTAGTGGCGCTGTTAAATCAAGATAAATTGAAAATGATTGTTCTCAACCTGTTGAACAGTTTGCATTAATAAAATATGATGAACTTGTTGAACTTTGAAACAGTTTTTAACCTGAATAAATTGGCTATTAAAAGTCAACCAATCAGATGACAAGGATTTATTCAGGTGTTATATAAAACAAAAAATGAATGTTTCACGTTTGTGCAATGGAAAGAATAATTTCATTCGGTGACAGATGAAATGTTCCATTCCACTCGGCTTCGCCTCGTGGAATGGAACATTTCATCTGTCACCTCATGAAATTTTTCTTACCATTGCACTCACAAACATTCATTATTTGTATAACAACCCTTAGTAGCAAATTAATAATGTGGCAATTGCTATCTGAAAGCAACTGAGAACTCACTTTGAAGAATTCGTCATGGTCCATCATTCTCTCCAGACGAATAATCGAATCTTTCTTGCCTTTCTCCTCATAAAAAGCCATCTTGGGTGGTAGGTCAGGAACAACATTGTTCTCGTAGCGTTTCAGTTCATCTTTGATGGTGCTCAGCTCCTTCTCAGAAATAAACGCATCGGCCTATAATTTTAAGAGGTAAACATGAAGCGGTTTGCCAAGTTTGTTTAGTTGAATATGAGTTCAATTTCAATTCCAATTTTTATGGCAAAACTCTATTTTATTTAGTTTCATACTGCACGGCAGAGTATTTCTTATTATTGTGTTACATGTATTTTGTTTTTGTATTTGTTTTGTACATTTTTGATGTACTTTTGAGTTTCCTTGGGCTGTAATTACCTTACTGAAAAGGTTTAATAATAACTGTTATTCCCATGGTAGATAGATCCCTAGACCTACATCATGTACATTGTACCTAAGAACCAAAGATGACATCCAGAAAAAATGTGTTATGTATGATAAACAAGATGCAGAAAAACCGTTACTCACGTTACATTTATTCCTGATATTAATACATTTTGATAGGTTTGGACAATACATACATGTACATGATGTATACAGCAAACCTTGAAGTAAATAATGTCATGAATGTAAAAACTCAGCTCCAAATTTGGCCATTTAAATTGTTGTTATCTCCAAAGTGCAAATACCTATTGAAGCTGATTCAAACGCCATTGATTTTGTCGTGTAATTTTTTTTTCAGCATGTCCAACAAAACAGGACATTTCTTTCTCTAACAAATTATACAGGCGCGGATCCAGAGGGGGGGGGTCAATCTGTCCAAAAAAATTTTTTTCATACAAATTCCTAAAAAATAAGTTGAAACCCCCCCCCCCCCCCTGCTGTGTCACCCAGAAAAGAATATACTCGTATAATGTCTGCCTGCTCAAAATACGGTACACCATTCTGTAACAGTAATCTAGTTTTAATAATTGTTGGATTTGAACAGCACCTTTATTGAAATATATGGTACCAGCCCCGCCCCCCCCCCCCCCTCCAGTTTTTGATTTTACGGAGGCCAAGTGTCCGGAGAAAAAACCTGTGTACATTTTCAATTTTTTTTGCTGATGAAACCCCCCCCCCCCCCCCGCGACAATTCCTGGATCCGCCCCTGTTATATTCGCCGGACTCCAGCTCCCTATCGTATCCCCTACGGCTTTAGTAATTTATCACGAAATAGATTCAGTTAGACGACGTACCCTGATGTAGCCCTTTTCTTTGAACATCTCTGAAATCTTCGATTTATCCAATCTCTCAGAGAACTTGGACCACGATGATACTACCCCTTCTCCCGTCTTCTGCCTTTTAGCTTTTGGAGAAGCTGCCATTTTGTAATATAAAGCTGAGACGAATTACAACTTTACAAGTGCAACTCCTCGTCATCTGCGGCAACACTTTCCTGATGATGAGCTAGCTGTACGGGACGCCCCTACGTGCACAAATTGCTCACATGACAGATCTTATCGCCGTCCCGCGGCCGATTCACATAGCATTTCCACAGACGCGGATTCCAGACTGATCCCCAGTAAAAAGAAAAACATCCTCTCGACCTTTGACATTCATTGTCTCGGTATTTACCCCGCCCCTAATGTAACATTTTTCCAATCAATCAGCGCGATGAAACGAATCTTGTGACCTTCATTTGCACTGTTGAAAGACCCCAGTGATGGCGCTGCCTGTCATCAGTGAGGGCGCTTTGAGCAAAGGGTCTATTTACGTACTGTAGCCATAGGCTTTGGCTGGTAGTGACAGAGCCAGGATTTTTCAAATAGGAGTAGCTGATGTGTTGAAGTCCAGGATTTAAGGAGCGGTGAAATGAGCGATTCTAGGGGCATTTGGAAAGGAAACAAAATACAGACATTTTCAATATTTGCTGGCGCTACTCCAGGACAGAAAATTGGAGATTTTAATCCAGTACAAATAATTTTAATTTAATTTTTGCTGACCCCTGGAACAGCCTATTGCCCTCGTTTTTGTAACAGCTACTTGTTCTGGTTGGAGGTGCTGTTGCATGTTGCTCTTTGAGATAAAAAAAAGGGCCGGATTGTCGAAAGGCAGGGCAATCTCCTCCCCTTCCCCCCCCCCCCCAATTCATAACTGGTCCAAACAAGTCACGACAGCAGATTGTTGTTGAAGCAGTAGTCTTTTAAATGATCAAGCTCCTTTTACAATGTTCAGTTATCTTCAAATGTTTCAACTGAAACAGTTTATTAGCTTGCCTCTGAACACAAATTACAAAGTTTATCTAAATTGTATCTAAATACGACGGGGGGAATAACTACAGCGTACTTTCAAAGTGCCAGAATCCGTACCAATTTTTTTTTCATACACAGTAAAGTAACGATGGTATTTTTCATGAAACCGATTAAATATTATATGAAGACCGTGCGTGAGAAGAGAACCGTTTTCTACTGTGGTAAGGTATCCTTATCAGAGATATTTTTAGTGAAGTCTACGACACCGACTGCAATAATTAAAACCTTTATGTACAGCTTACAGGAAATCCAAACTATATAAAAAGTTCGACTTAATCCGACTCGACAAGAAATGATTTGAATCGTCCCAATGTAACCTTTGATTTCTGCGAGTCTTCCTGCTGTTGGCAATGAATTTTTTTTTTGAGAATCTGTGGAGCAGAAATACCCTCCAAACAGCTATGCTACACCAAACACTATACGCCAAGTGCTGGGAAGTGGTATTTGAGTGACGTCAACTACGATATAAAGTCATTATGAACATGATGCTTGAACCTCCCTAGACCAATCAAATGACAGTATCCAAAACACAATACATGTTTAACCAACACTTGCACAGTATATGACCTTTCAAGACCCATGAAACTACGGACTGTACCTTCGACATAACACAACCGATGTTTTTTTTACACAACAGAGAAAGTAAGGCCATACACAGTTAAGAAATTCACACTTGTCATAAAAAATTTCTGCAGTCACCAAAAAAAAAAAAATAATAATAATAAAAAAAAATAATAATAACAATTCAGTTTTGGTATGAGCATTAATTAATCAGGTCAGTTGCAAATGGAATTTCAAGAACATCTATGCAAGAGAAGAGACACGAGACAGTGTTGTAGTCGAAGTCCATCATAAGTCCGTCAGCCTTGAGTCAAGTCACTAGCTATGCAAGTGAACCGTTACAAAAGCCTTCCCTTGTCGTTGTTCATCGCGTTACTGCCGACTGCGACTTGTGATGGACTTCGAGTACAAACGCTGACATGAGATTAAGCAGGTAGGAAGCAAAAAAAATGACGGGAAAATAGAAAAGTTGTACCATTACTCATATAATCAAACAAAGAGTGTCTCGGCCTACAAATTAAAAAAAAACCCACCTACACAGGTGTTCTGATCAAACAAAAAGTACAAACCAATCAATTCTAAGAGGATGGTTTTAAAACTACACGAAAATAACTCACAGGCAACCATTCACTGATTAGTGGTTTCTACTATTACAATCATATCACATCTTGTCTTCGAGAATCTCCTACTTGTTTTTTTAAGAGTCAAGAACTGGAGGCGAAATTTGTAGTTCCGCTTCCTTTTTTTGGTGGATACGAGTTTGCTGACTAAGGGCATGAAAAGATTAAGTCTGCACAAGGAAAATCCCTTGATATTAATGAGAAATCACTGGCCGTACACTTTCGACACTCCTCATTTGAAGAGTGCGAGAGATGAGAGTGCAAAGCAAGTACCGTCTGTGCTCATCACATCTGGAGAGTAAAAAAAAATGAAACAACGTAGGATGTGGTTATGTTGGGAGACAAAGAAATATCCTCATGTGAAGCCCCCCCCCCCCCCCTCACATTCAACAGGGGTGTGAGTGACCACTGATAAAAAAATAGCTGAAAACAGCTGAAAAAGGTGTAAAAAAAGCTGAACTTTGGAAATCTCCTATACTTTTGTACACAGCAAGTGAGGGGAAAAAAGCTGAAATCCAAAACAAAAAGAGCTGACATCAGCTTTAAAGCTGAGATTTCACATCCCCGATTCAAACCGGCAAAAAGCTTCGGTTGATGAGCAAATATTTGAGTATTCCATATATTCAGAACAGCCCTACATGGTACAAACTGGGGGAATGAGGCAGAAGCTTGGGTAACCGCATTTACCTGTCAAAAACCGACAGGCAATTATGTCAAAGGTGACTTGGTTTATTAGCACACCATATTGGACACATATTTTGGCCTGCCCTACCTTGTGGCGAGACTGATACAACGTCCGCGCTTGCATTTATCTGTTCCGCATTCTTATTCGCCTGCAGTGGGAAGAACAGCCTAATCCCAGAGAGGTTACTCTCCTTGAAACTATCGTCTCAACTTTTCTAAATCACGTAGTTTTGGTGTCGCATTACCCTGGCAACTGTCGCAACGGTGACTGCCACACAACCTACATTTTGTGAATTGAGATTTTTTGGCATATTTCTCTCTCAAATAGGTCACTTTATCTTGGGACATTGGTTGCATTTTTTTTTTTTATTGATGTGGGGGTCGACCCAAAAGCCCCTTTGGTCTCAACACACAAAACTATCAACTGCGATGGTCTCGAGTCTAGAAATATCCCAGTCTCTCTTTATTGTTCCACAGGGGGAATCATGGCATCTCTTTATTTTCACCTGAAGCCCGATCTCACTCGAGGCGTTAAAAAAAAAGCCATGTCCGACATAACAACATACTCCACAGTTAATTAGAGTGGTGAAGTCAGCCCATCACAAGTCAGGCCACAAGTAAATCACAAGTCCTGTCGCAAAAGGGGGGGGGGGGGAGGGGTAAACAACAACAAAGGAGTGCTTTGAACAGCTCGTGCCTCAACTTGGGACTGGCTCGAGAACAGCTTGTGACTCAACTTGGGACTGGCTCGAGAACAGCTCGTGACTCAACTTGGGACTGGCTCGAGAACAGCTTGCGACTCAACTTGGGACTGGCTCGAGAACAGCTTGTGACTCAACTTGGGACTGGCTCGAGAACAGCTTGTGACTTAACTTGGTACTGGCTCGAGAACAGCTTGTTACTCAACTTGGGACTGGCTCGAGAACAGCTTGTGACTCAACTTGGGACTGGCTCGAGAACAGCTTGTGACTCAACTTGGGACTGGCTCGAGAACAGCTTGTGACTCAACTTGGGACTGGCTCGAGAACAGCTTGTGACTCAACTTGGAACTGGCTCGCGAGGACCTGTGTGGACTTGTCATGGACTTGACTATAACATTGTTGATTTACCTTTCTTGATGTCGCTGAGATGCGGTCAGCTAATAACCACCGTAGCCGCCATAACCTCCCTGTCTGTAGCCACCACCAGCTCCACCTCCACCACGCCCACCACGGGGACGATAACCACCACCGCCACCGCCACCGCCACCGCCGCCACCACCATCACGTCTCTGCCTAGCCATATTGACCTTGATGGTTCTTCCATCAACCTCCTGCAAGTCGAAAGTAAAACCATACCAAAATATTACAAATCTTTTGTATAAATACCGAGACCATGGATCTCAACAAACTGGGTTCAAGAGATGACTGGCTGTTTTGGGACACAAAAGAAATGTATCAAGCCAATGTGGACATTTACATTGAATCTGGAAAAAAATATACAGTCGAATCTCGTTAGTGCAAACTCTGTTAATACAAAATTCTGGTTATAACAAACACAAAGCCTTAGTCCCGACTGTGCATTTATGTGCACAATGAATGGGACTGATGTTCCTCTTAATACAAAATTCTGATATAACAAACAATTTGGCTAGGTTCGAACGAGTTTGTATTAACGAGACTCGACTGTAGTTGTAGCGTACAGTCAACAGTATCCTTTATACTCCATTGATTATGAAATATGCCGTTTATTGAAATCCTCTCCCCAAACCAAAGTATGAATTTCGAGGCTATCCCTGGTTTCAAGACACGGGGCAGAAAACTTCATAACATTTTGAGCAAAATGTTCCTCTCATATTAAATCACAATGACTGTCCACAGTTTACAGGCGTGCAACTTACCTGACCATCTAGGCCATCAATAGCTTTCTGAGCCTCATTTTGCTTCTCAAATGTCACAAAACCAAAGCCACGACTACGACCAGTTTCTCTGTCCATGATAATGATACCTGCAGGTGAAAGAACAAAGAGCCACACAGTGTTTTAGCCAGGATTCAGGAGACTGGGGGTGCAAATACAAGTTGTGGGAATGCAACGTTCCATCGCAATGCCGCTGAACGTCTCAAAAGTCGGCACGCTTTGAACGTTCCAATAAGAAACATCGCCTATTCCAATTGGTATGCGCTGTTCCCACTGGGAACAGTTCGGGGACGTCAGCTATTCCTGCTGAAACAGAAAAGTCCAGATTTGACCTTGCGATAACATGCCTCTCATTTCACTCTGAGCCACTGAATATTTGTGTACTGTTTATCAACCAATGGCAGCGCGATCGGCCAATTGTAAATTTTATGCGACCCCACGCGCCAGCCAACCAGAGCCTCCTTTAGAAGTCGTGACATCATTGAGAGCAGAAATTCAGCCAATGCTGTTGATGGGTCAATATCTGCCAAGACTGCCTGTTTTTCTCATTCAATACTAGTTACTGATTTTGCGGTTATATGGCAAAAATGTGAAGCTGGTTTTGGAAGATGAACTGTGTCTAGATCTTGGGCCGGACCATGTGTTTTTTATGCTCAGCCGTGCATGAATTTAGGCCTAGATTGCACTTTGAAATCCTCAACACTGCTCCAGGATGTCACTGGCTCTGCCTCAACATAACGACAGTGAATGCTGGAGGATTTTGCAGGATTGAGGCAGTGGTCACCCCTCCTAGGATAAAGCAGAATTTTGCAGGATTGAGGCTGTATGCAATTTTCACACGGAGGCAGTTGGAGCATTTTGCAGGATTAAGGTTGCATCCTAGCAAAAATGCCTGGGGTGTTGGGGTTAAACACAGCTTACACACTGTGGGAAATGAACTCGGGTTCTACATGAAATTCTTACATTCGGTCACTGAGCCATACTCGCCGAAGATACCCTGGAGGTCCTCATCCTGCGTCTGAAAGGACAAGTTGCCCACGTACACCTTAGAGCTGTCTTGATCTCCGTACGACATTCTGCGTTCTGAGGTGGGAAGAAAGTACAAAAAAATAAAATTGCTTTTCTAATTAGGTTTTGTATACAGTTTTATTTTCATTTGGAAAGAAGGATCTTGACACCAAAAGTCTGTTATGGGCATAATGGGAAGTGTGACAATTTTCTTCCTAACAAACATGACAAAGTTGGCCTACATTTGCATATTTACATATCTGCATATTTACATATCTGCATATTTACAATGTACCATTTACTGACCGCCACTGACCGGGTCTCGTTAACTCTGTCTTATGTCATTTTTTACCACATCTTAGAGTAATAAGGCCAAGGAAAAAAAATACCAGTTGATCGTCCAAGTTTTCCAAAATTCTTTGTCTAAAATTTTGTCGGAATTCTTTGTCTACACAAATTATTATTTTTTTCTCATTTTGATAATTTGTTATCACGATTCCAAATACAATTTGCCATTTGTATTTTTACGTTTCAATTTTTAGTTCAATCCCATTCGAAACTGCCTTCCGGATATGATATTGAATAAAACACTAAGTAGACGAAAGTCTCTTTTGGACTTTTGCGTTGCCATGGCAATAATTATATCAAACTGATATATTCATGACAAGTTTGGAGATACGAAGCATCAAAAATGACACAAAGTACACAAAAATTGCTTGGGACTTAGTTTTATTTTACTGACAGTGCCACACCTGCACAGCAGCAGTAGGCCTATAACAAAAAAAATATTCAAAAATCTGTAACCTTTTAACCGTTCAACGGACTGTTTTATTTTTTTTTTCAGAATGTTTGATTTTTCCCCCTCTTTAATTTGATATATTTTTGATATAGACGAGTTCATGACTTAACAATCTATACATTAACCGTTACCACCCTGAATCCTCCAAAATCCTTTTTGCAAATTGGAGGAATTTGCAGGATTGAGGTTACACGGCAAAAGTGCGTTGCTGATTTCGGAGTACGCACTGTGTCAAGGTCTTGGACCGGACCTTGTGTTGTTTATGCTCAGCCGTGCATAAATTGAGTCCTTGATTATACTTGACATCCTCTGCACTGCTCCAGGATGTCACTGCCTCTGCCTCAGCCTACCGACAGTCATAGCCGGAGGATTTTGCAGGATTGACATGATTGAGGCTCCTAGCAAAAAGAATCTCAGGGTAACATCTCTCAGTTCTGCCCTCCCCCCCCCCCCCCCCCCCACTATTTTTTTTTTGGGGGGGGGGGAAATTTGTCGAAAATCCATAAATGAATTTTTTAAACAGACTTTCCACCCTTTTCAGCAGAATTTTATAAAGGGTCTATTCCTTCCTCCATGAATGCATGGAGGTAGCCTACCTCCATGATGTATGCATGTATATCACATAAGTTGAAGCGTCTTATTTCAAAACCACTCAAAAATTACATCTTTTCTTCATTGTTCTTATGACTATTTTCGACGTTTTTTATGCAAGATTTTCTCATTCCCAAACAAAGTGTGAATCGGGGAACAAAGTTTTTTCGATATGGTAGGCCTACACCATAATCTACATGTCTGTGAAGTTTTATAAAATTCGGCGAACAAGACCGCGTGGCGAGCGAAAAAAAGGCCTCGTCCCACGGACTAATGTCGAACAATACCGACCATGCCGACCATGCCGCGCCGACAAAAAAAAATGGCCGCTGCGCGCGTGCTATGCTTATCATTGTATGTCAAGGATATAAAGCGCATGCGTTATTGCGAAATTCACGGGCTCAAAAGCTCACACAAAAAACAAGTCAAGAAACCCTTAAATTCATCGTTGTTTGTGCTGTATAACTTACCTTTGTTGCTGAGAAATACTATACCCAACGTTACTTCTGCTAAGCATACCTTGTGGGCCAATGAAGGGCAGTTTGGGATGAATATTTCTACCCAATTTGTCACAATTTCTTGATGCGATAATAAAGCGCGCCAGTCGTGATGCTCAACTACGCACGCGGTTTCGGTGTCATGTCAAATAATGTCCGCAACTGTCCCGTAGTGCAGATATACAGAAGATGGGAGTGTCGAATATAGCGCGATACATGTAGGTTTGTAATACTGTTTGAAAATGTGCTCTTTAATATTAAAAAACGTATCTGCAATGACTGATAACTATCATTGAGGCTATTAAGAAAGATTGTTTTCCTTTTTAGTGCCAAACTTTTAAATTAGTGCCAAAACTTTTAAATTAGTGCCAAAACTTTTATATCATCGGCGGAATACCATGGAGGTATATCAACAGGCCATAGCAGCAGGGTATTTTTTTTATGGCCGAGCGGGGGGCCGGGGGAGGGGTAAAAAGTTAGTGAAAAGGGCACTCGCCGCGGCACAAGTCCGTGCTGAATGTACACAGGATATTTTTTTTCTCCGGACACTTGGCCTCCGTAAAATCAAATAATCAAAAAAAAGGGGGGGGGGGGAGGTTCCATCTTTAAATGGGGGCTCTGTTCAAACTGGACGAGCAGGCATGCTCGGACATTAATAGATGCCGCGCTTTTCAGGGGGTCGAGCGAAATTCCAAAGTGGGCACTCGTAAAACACAAGACAGCTAAGTAGTAAAAATTAAGGGCAGTTTCTTTTTTTTTTTTTTTTTTTACAAAATGAGCACTTGTTTAAAACAAAATAGAGGTGTAACCCAATGGAAAAGGGCAGTCTATGGGGGGGGGGGATACCCCCTTTACCCCCCCCCCCTCCCCCCGGCTACGCCTCTGCCTATAGGTTGCAATTATAATATTATTAGAGCCATCATAAATATCATGGGTGATCTGCTGCTCAGTATGACCTAGTAGTAGCTGACTATCGAAAGAATTCCAAAAACCTTTAAAGAAAGGCAGGGTAACACTTTCGGCGTCGCCGACGCCTTTTTTCTTTTCTCCGGCGCGGTACGGTGTAAAGCATTCACAATAACTGGTATTACCGAAAGAAATCACCGGCCGTGGAAAAATCGTTGCTAAATCATTTGATTCGCCCATCGTATTCTTTTTCTATTGTCTTTGTCCCTTTTTTTTTTGGGGGGGGGGAGCAAGTTCCCCCGCTACGCCCATGGTCAAACGATTTGATTTGATTTATATATGGTCATCCAGCCAAGTAAGTGGTTCATTTCAGCATGGTTGATTTCAGCAGCTCATTTGAAATGAATGTTCTGAACATAATTGCGACATGAACATAATATATTTGTTAGGTTGGGAGAAACAAAGTTAGATTTTAAAGTACAAAATATCAGCCTTTTAATCTTGTTTCGTCACAATCTCCAGAAACCTGCATGCGTTTTTTTTTAAATTAGGTATTTGGCATAAGCCTTGCGGGTCAACAACGACGAAGCAGCGATCATGCGCATTACGTCTATGCCGTCCATGATTTGCAGAGATCCCAAGTGTACGTGACACTACCAGTGCTGTAAAACAATGTGGCTAGCTGCAGTGTGCGTATGCTATTATGCATGCGTGCAGTGCATGCAGTGGCAGTACATGTACATGTACAATGTACACCAGCGCACAGTCCCTGGTGGTGAAATCATGCACGTGACAACTCAACGGCAGTATTTTACACCTCAACTTTTTCCTTCCAATGGACAACTTCAAACAGATTCAGTAGTTTCTAGTGCGTTTTTTGTACTGTTACAAAGCAAAGAAATAAAGTTGCATTTTCGATTGTCTGAGTATATTCAATATATTTAATAATCGAAATAATAATCAGCAGAATTTGATATTAAAGGGAGTAGGTTCAACAGAAGGAAAAGCTCACAATCACATGACAGTGTCTACCATTTTTAGCTGGTAGCCGACTTATTGCTCAATCGAAACAGTATAATTTCGGAGTGGTACGGGTACCAGTCGTTCTTTCATGATTTCTGGAAACTGGCGAAGAGACATCAAACTTCCCAAAGACTGCCAGCCCACAGCTCAAATAAAAAGCCTTTTTGCAATTTTAAAGACGTGGAGTAATATATAACAATGAAGCTTCTTACAGCAGTCCTACTTCTTATTTTTGTAGCGCTTGGTAAGTATTTAACTTGCAGCATTTTGGCCGTGCTTGCACTTGTACTTGAGTTGTACGCCGCATACTATACTGTCATGACTGTACACTTCATGTCATGAGTTCATCATTGATGTTGCAATGTTTCTAGTTGAAAATATTCAGCATCTGAGCATTGTTCTACTCGTCATGCTCGTAATGTGTGCCTAACAAATGTACATTTTGGGAATGTAATGCTAGTAAAGTCATTGATAGAGGGCTAAAACTGATTGAGGCAGTTGATGTGGTGATATATATGGTGTGGTTTGTAAGTGCAGTGAAGGGTTCGAACCCCGCCCCACGTTTGCCACCGGCACCATGCCCACAGATGTTTACAAAAAGAAATTAATTTAGGCCTAACTAAACTAGGCCTAAAAAACTGAGTCTATAGTATATCCCACCCCCTTCAATTTTGGTTCATATTTTGCCCCACTATGCTATGGCATGCCGGAGTAATTGCAGAATACCCCGCCACTCGGAAACACACCCCTAAATTCTCTGGCTACGAGGTTGGAATCACTGGAAAAGAAACAATTCAAGTCCATGCCAGTTACGCGGATACTGAGTGGGGGTCCATTATTTGAGAACGAAGCAACACAAAAGGAATGGGAGTTGCTGAAAAAATTCTAAGTCCAAACCAACCACCCTGTTGGCGGCTACGCGGATACGAAGTGGGAGTCCCCTCGAATATGCTTGAGAACGAAGCAACACAAAAGGAATGGGAGTTGCTGAAAAAATTCTATGTCCAAACCAACTACCCTGTTGGCGGCTACGCGGTTACGAAGTGGGAGTGCAATGGAGCATGACGCATAGTACATACAAGTAGCGCTGAGAAAGTTTATTGAGGTCAACCAACCGTGACCTCGTAGCCGGCTACGAGGTGGATAGATCGAGTGGCGGGGTATTCTGCAATTGTGCCGGCATGCCATAAGCATGATTAGGCTGAAAAGGCTGAAATGTTTGTTTTGTTTCGCAATTATATAAATGTCTTTTTATTTATAGATGGGATATATCAAGGTATGAATGTCTGCTTTTTAAAAGACAGTTGGTTTAATTTTGGAAAATTCACTTGAAAACTAGACAAAAAAATGGTGTATTTACTAGGCTGTACAACACATGTACTATGTATCTGTACACTATACTTTTGTGTTTTCGGTCATACAAAGAAAAAGTTTGTGAGGAAAATCCTTTCAATTAATTTACAATTGTCACAGTTTCTTACACTACCAATACAGGAACCTGTTCAAGCCAGGTCTGATTCGATTCAAACATTGCACATGCATTGTCAGGGACGTGTTATTGATGAAAAAAAAAATCATAATGCGGAAAAGCCCTATGTTCTGTTGCAAACAGACATAGATCTCTAGTTTTTCTTGGGTTTTCCAGCATCTACGAACACAAAACTTCAAACAAGTCAGTTTAAATAATATTTGCTACAAAATACTAACCCCAAGTCTATCCATTTCTGAAACTTACAGCAAAAGCAAATGTTGTGTATTCCCTTAACCCTAACCCCCTAGGCCCTTGTTGCTTACAACCATCCTCAATCCTCCAAAATCCTCCAAAATTTTGCAACTCCGCCTAAATTTTTCAAAATTGTCAGACAGTCCTGCCTCAAAATGCATTCATCCTCAATCCTCCAAAATCCTCCTCATCCCAAAATTTTGCACTTGTGTTTAAATGAAGGATAACCAACGCCAAATCCTTCAAAATCATCAGACAGTCCTGCCTCAAAATGCATTCATCCTCAATCCTCCAAAATCCTCTTGTGCTTCAATCACCATTCATCCTCAATCCTCCAAAATCCTCATGTGCTTCAATCACCATTCATCCTCAATCCTCCAGAATCCTCATTTGATTCAATCACCATTCATCCTCAATCCTCTAGAATCCTCCAAAACCGCCAGGAGGATTTTGGAGGAGTGAGGTGGGTTAGGGCTAGCTCTATGGTTAGGGTTAAACCCTAACTCCCCAGGCCTTTTTGCTGGGATGTAGCCTCAATCCTGCAAAATCCTCCGATTGGCCCCATGGAAAAATAGCATTATAGCCTCAAACCTGCTAATTCTTCCATTATTTTTTGAATATGGTCCGTGGAGGGGTGACCACTGCCTGAATCCTGCAAAATCCTATGGCTGTGACTGTCAAGCTGTGACTGTCAATATGTTGAGCCTTGGCCAGTGACATCCTGGAGCAGTACGGAGGATTTCCCTAACCCCCACGGGGTATTCTCTAGGCGCCCTGCCAAATGCAACAGAATGCAGTGCCAGCCTTGGTACCAAGTACCTACCCTGCCAAATGCAACGGAATGCAGGCATGGAATGCATGCAGATCAGGACACTGCTAAATGCAACAACTTGCAACAACTTCTTACCATTGGTGCATCCTGTTGCATTTGGCAGGGTTAGGGGTAATCCAGGCCTATATTTATATGCATGGCTGAGCAAAAATAACACAAGGTCCGGCCCAAGACCTTGACAAAGTGCATCCTACAAAATCAGTAACGCACTTTTGCCATGTAACCTCAATCCTCCAAATTCCTCCACTTTGGCAAAGAGGATTTTGAAGGATTCAGGGCAGTTAGGGTTAAATAATTAAATCAATTAAGCCTATTGCCAGGCCAGGCACTTGGCATGCTTGGCAGTACTCACATGTAAAGCCACCATACATTGTACAATGTACATGTTACTGTCAGTCAAGGCAAAGTTCATGTACATTGTACCTTCAGTTGACAAAATTGCCACAGCCTGTCAATTGTACAAAAACATGTATGAGCCCAATTTACAATTAATTGTTAAAAACTTAAAAGATTAATAAAACATGTACAGAAGGTCTCTCTCAAATGATATCACTTCCTACAGATGGTCCCATGCATCGGCATTTTGGGCGTCAAATTTTCGTGACGCGCATCGGCTGCGCTGTATTTTGAAGAAATGTCAAGCAACATGCCCGCGTTTTTAGAGATTTTCCACACTGCGTGCAAATGCACCTGACGGGGCGTCGTACAAGCAGTTGCAATTTTCCTACAAAGATGGCTGTTTATGAGGGAGGTCGATTAGCCATATTGTTTTCTAAAAGAAAAGAAACTTGTCAACAACAAGCAGCACTCTGTCATAAGGCTGGGTTCCTTTCCAAATTTTCTCGATCATGTTGGTTTTTTTTTTGTCTACACTGAAATTACTGTAAGAGTTATTCCGAAAAATATGTACCTGTAGGCCTGGGCCCACGCCCAACCAAAAAGATTGGAAAGACCCCCCCCCCCCCCGGGAAATCCCCAAATGTGTATAAGAAATTAGAAATTCATACAATTACAAATGTAGGCTGTTAAGTTTGTACACTTAACAAGGAGAATCTAGTTGACAAACGTAAATGAAGGACATGGATTGTGTACAATAGTTCTTCGGCCTTTGATCCCATTATTCTAATCTTTAAAATGGAGGCCACACGTAAAGGGCGTGATTTTGACTACTGTAAGTTTGTCATGTAGTCACATGACAGATACTCTGTATGTGTACGCTGGCATTGACGTACATGTAGGTTGTAAGTATTTGTTTTTGGTTGGGGGGGGGGGGGCAAGTGGATGATGACAAAGGTTAACTGCTAAAGGTCAACTGATGGAACTGGTAAATGTGGTGCATGATGTAACTGAAGAACACGTGCTTTGTGACATCATGCTGGACCAACATGACCAACAATTTTTGACTCCTCAGCATTTTTTTATAGGATGTTTGTCATCTTCAAATAATGTGGAAATTTTCAAGCACATTGTACATGTACATATTCATGTTGAAGTACATTGAAACCCTAACTCCAAGGTTATTTCTAAAAAAAAATTGGGAAATTTCCGTTAGTACAGTTACATGTACTATTTTTTATTAATTCAGAAATGCTACAATTCGTCAGTTCAGTACTGTGACATCGTGTACGTAAAGCTGCAATTGGCTGAATGAGAATGTGTCCCAGATGCTGATTTTGGGTGCAATTCAAACGTGACTCGGCAACTTTTGAATTTTAGCTATTGTTTTCTCAGAAAATACAGCATTTTTTGAGCTAAAAGTTCATCAGGTTTATTAGATGTTAAACACCCTTCTTTAGATTAAAATGCACAAGTGACAAGTGATATACATATTGTACATTGTACATGTACTCTACCAAACAATTGTTTATTTGTAGTTTACATGTAGTTTGCTATTCATAATCACTCTTGAAAGACGACTGCTTTCAGGAGTTCATCAGAAATAGATTCGTGGATGTCAGATGAAACGGGGATAGGAAAGTAAGATACACCCCAAATGTTTGGAATGACCTACCACCCACGAGCTGATCGGGTGAACACAGTAAATCATTTGTGACCTCACCAGGTTGGCTGACTAAAGAAAATTGTCCAAAAATGCAGTATTCTAAACCCAATTTTTATGGCTATGATACATTAGCATCAGGTCAAAGGTTGTGGTGGAATTGTTTGCTTGATCTAGAACCCCGATTTGTCTGATTTTGAGCCAGTTGGCCCACCATAACGAGACGTTGAACAGGCTTCCACTCAATGTATTTGATTGTCCACCCAAATTTTGTGTGTGAAGTCAGTCATTTTTTTTTTGAGTTTCGACTTCTTGCTGAAGTGAAGAACACAGGAGGAGTACATCAGATTGTGGACAGATATTCCCGAAGCATGTTTGAACAATAGACATGTTTTGTGTACATGAGCATGAATGTACAAATGTGTAGTTTGCCTGTTCACAAGGCAAGGCCTCTTTTCTGTTTGATTTTCGTTGGCATTGAACACGCAGTCAGCGTGGCTTGTTCAAGGAAGAAAGTTGAGGTCAAAGACCATGAAACGGGCCCCTGTCACGTAATCGCTTGCCTCGTGTTTGAGTGAAGTTAAAGTTCAAGGAAAAGCATGAACCATACAATTTTAACAGGAAATAAGCGTGGAAATGTATACTTGTACACATACGTGTACAATGTGTGTACATTAGGAACAGGTGAAAAATGAAATGTAGAACAGTGCTCATTGGATAGTATAACCCAAAGTACATGTACATATGTGAAGGATACTGAAGTGCACTGTACGTGTACGTTACACTGAAATTTGTATCCTTGTGGAGTGTCTTTGTTCTCGTGTACTAAAGTTTTTGAGTTTGAAAGTGAACTTTCAAAATGCTCCTGTTTTAACCAGAATGAATTTCCTCCGCTGAAATTCGGACTCAATATCCCTTACATAAAATACTTCAATTTGCGATGGATCAACACACACCTTGGAAATTCCTAGTTTTGAGTAAAATCCATATTTCGTGATAACCTTGTGGAGATGTATTCACCTATAGAAATTGCCCTGTGGACATGGTGGAGACGTATACAGTCTTTTGTTCCCTATTGTGCACATGTCTCCAGAGGGCACCGTGTAACAGATTAGCGTTCCTTATGGCGTAGAAAACAGTAGAATAATAGACCCCTTAAGAAAGTCTTCAGAAATCAATCTGCCCCTTAAACCCTAAACCCCTAAATTCCGAGGTCTTTTTTTGCTATGAATCATCCTCAATCCTCCGAAATCCTCCAAGTTTTGCGGTAATGTTCAAATGAAGGAAACCTACTGCTTCAAGTCTTCAAAATCCTCCAAAATATTACCGCCAGGACGATGGAGGATTGAGGAGGGTTAGGGTCAACGATTTTCTCTTTAAAAGCAATCAAATTTGATTATTTGATACACCAGTGAAGTACATGTAAATGATGTATGTCTTAAAAGATCATGTTCTTCCACTCATCTGGAAGAGTAATTATTGGAATCGATCCGTTCTGTTACTAAGTTGTAGTTGTAGTAGAAATGGCACCTATTACTAAGTATTTAAAGAACCTTTAACCCTAACCCCCTAGGCCCTTGTTGCTTACAACCATCCTCAATCCTCCAAAATCCTCCAAAATTTTCCAAAATTTTGCAACTCCGCCTAAATTTTTCAAAATTGTCAGACAGTCCTGCCTCAAAATGCATTCATCCTCAATCCTCCAAAATCCTCCTCATCCCAAAACTTTGCACTCGTGTTTAAATGAAGGATAACCAACGCCAAATCCTTCAAAATCATCAGACAGTCCTGCCTCAAAATGCATTCATCCTCAATCCTCCAAAATCCTCTTGTGCTTCAATCACCATTCATCCTCAATCCTCCAAAATCCTCATGTGCTTCAATCACCATTCATCCTCAATCCTCCAGAATCCTCATTTGATTCAATCACCATTCATCCTCAATCCTCTAGAATCCTCCAAAACCGCCAGGAGGATTTTGGAGGAGTGAGGTGGGTTAGGGATAATCTAGCTGTAGTGGGTGTTTTTACCCCATGGGCGTTTTTACCCCATGGGCGTTTTTACCCCAGTTGACCCTACATGCCAGTAAGCCAATGAGCAAACATTTTTTTCACAAATGCTTTCAATAAGCACATTTTTGAGGTCACTACGGGAACAGGAAACCCTAAACTGAACAGTGTCTTCCTGGAATGACATCACAGCTGCAAAACCCTCACTTGTCGTGCTTGTCCGAGAAAAGAAGGAAAACGTTTAAAGGACTGCGCACATCCATTTTTTAAACATTCAAAAGAAATAGAAACTTACCAAAAAAATATGTTCCTCAGAAAAATTCACTTCATGGACCCTTAAAGTTTGTATGCGGAATGCATCTGGCGTGTGCATGTATACACTTTCTGACAAGTCCAAACATGTGTGATTTTTATTTAGTATCAAATACACCTAGCATTAAAGGTATAGTCCATCATTTGTAATTTGTGCATTTTGTTCGTTTGAAGCAACAAACGTGCTCAAAATCTAATGAAGGATACTGAACAACTAACCTGATGAAGTTTCAGCTCAGCTTCAGCTGTACATTCCGAGAAAAACAGCATTCTAGGATCTTGATTTCAAGTCTAAAGTTGCTGAATCATGTTTTGAATTGGGCCTGAATTCAGCGTCCGAGACACGTTCTGAATGAGCCGATTGCAGCTACGCGATGTCGCGCACTGATCCGACAAATTATAGCAACCGCGCGTGTGCGTCGTGCCAATGCTTGCGTGCGCTTCACTGCAAAACAAAACACTAATTTAAATTTCATACAGTGCGTCTTAAGAAGCACCGTTGTAAGGGCCGCCTTCTGTTGATTTCTTCAAAGTGACAGCTTTCCTGAAAGAATAATTTCACAGGGAGTTTAGTCCCCTCATTATCTTTCAACCAAGTATGTTTATCAACAAGAATTACGCCAGTTACTTTTTGGATAGCTGCAAATGATGGACTCCAGCTATAAATCATGTTTGTTTGTTGTTCCTTTTCAGGCGCAGCGCAGAACACCGAGTCTGCAGCCACCACTGCTCCTACTAAGAAACTCACAGAGGGACCCACTTCAAAGGCAAAAACTGGGGCTACAACCAAAGCACCAAAGGTTACAACAGCAACTGCAGCAACTGCAGTACCGACAACAGCAACACCTGCATCAACTGCAACTGCAACTGCGGCAACTGCAGGGCCAGCAACAACTGCTGGGACTGCCACTGCGCCAACTGCAAGACCAGCAACAAATGCAAGCACCGCAGCACCCAAAACGACGGCAGCACCCACAAGCCCGACACCGGGCCCCACCACCGTGCCGCCCCCATTTTTTACCTATAACGTGACGAGCGCCGATGGGCAGGTGTGCTTTCTGGCCCAGTTTTATGCAGGGTTCTCAGGCACGTATGAGCTCAAGAACACATCCATGGTAAGAACTACAAGATCGCATGGCTTACATTGATTTCATTGATTTAATTTTTATATTTTTTTTTAAATATCTTCTTCTTTTTTTCAGGGGGTAGATTGTCAGTTAATTTGTATATATAAATACCTAAGACAGTTTACCCATTCCTATTGGTCAAGAGCCTGTCACGTGGCTGGTCTTAAACGGATGATAAAGACCGGCTGGCTGGTCTGAAACACTTTGCCAGTGTCATATAAAAATTTGGACTCCTATGAAATCTGGTCCCTTTTACCTAAATCTTTAAAAATGTATTGCTACATGCACCGGTGTATATTAAAATCTGCATAAAAGCTTTCCTTCACAATGGTGCCCATAATTGCACAATGGTGCAAATTTTCGTCATCCTCATTTTAACACAGGCCTTTACGAAGTAGTGTGTTTTATTTGCCTACTACAGGTGGACTTTAACTTTGAGATGCCAGAGAACGCCAAAGTCGATGCCAAGAAGAGCAGGTGTGGCTGGCCTTCACAGACCGCCATCATGTTCCTGACCTGGACCGAAGGTGCAGACAGCTTGGCTTTGGAATTCAGCATGGACAACGAAGCCCAAACCTTTCAGCTGAAATCTGCCAACGCTAGTCTGACGCATTCCCCTGCACACTTCCCTGATAGCAAAACCACAGGTATTATAAGATGGAATTTTGCGTCGGTGTGATATATATCAAATTAGGTTTTGCCCTTCACCGACGTTTTAAGCACTGTATACTCAGTGTGTTGAGTTCAAAACCACAGGTAGCAAATCACTCTAGGGGCAGCATGTTCCCTAGGCCATTTCGAAATTTAATTTGAATAAACGTCCGATACGCTGACTTGCTCAAATGCATAGCACATTTTAAATTTGAATTTGCCAGACCAAAGATGCTGTTGCTTAATAACGTGATTCGGTGCAAGCCTTATGCTAGCTAAGCAACCCCCAGCTCTGGAATGGTCTGGTGTCTTTGTGCCATTCTCACCTATTGACAAGAGTTGTAATGACTCGAGTCAATGACTCGACTCGAGTCCGACTCGAGTCAAAATTTTTGGTGACTCGACTCGACTTGAGTCCCTTTGAGTAAATGACTCGACTCGACTCGAGTCACTGCAAGCAAATGACTCGACTCGAGTCCCTCATCAAAAGACTCGACTCCGATGCAAAGCCTTACTTACTTGTCAGATGACGGCAATTTCTTTGGCATTTCGTAAGAGTGTGTGGCAGCTTTCTCGTGTAGTGTGGAAAATACCGCACAAAGTAACAGCTAACTCCAACCTGCGTGACCCTGTTTCCCATCTCATCATAATCAGGGGCAGTCAAGTACGGCGGTGTCACCATGGGAGACTTCTTCAAGGCTGATTTTGGATACAGCTTCAAGTGTGCGTCCACCGAGCAGATTGCTTACAAGGCCAACGACTTTAAGTTTACCTTCTCCCAGCTGAAGGTGCAGCCGTATGAAGTGGACAAAACATTCGGCCAAGGTAAACAGGTGTCTCAAATCTTGATAATTGAGCGTTAATTGGTTGCGTTCCTGTCCGGTTCAAAGACTGCAAGTAGATTGTGTTAGCTTTAAACAGGCATGCAACTTTTCCTCGGATCAGCTGATTTCCTCTTTTTGTACTTCCCATGTGTGCCATTGAGAATAGAAAAACACTGTACAAAGTCGGGGGAAAATTTGAATTTCCTCTTTTTTTGTGATTTCCCAGTTGCATGCCTGTTTAAAAGGGAATATACAACATTTGCAAACATCAATATTATAAAATACCTTACTGGACTGTTAGTGAATGACAGTCTAAAACATCCTGTGAAATCATGGCACCTGGTGTGCTGACATTTTTAAAAAAAAAGTGGAATTTTGTATTAATTTTGTATTAATGGTCGGCTGACTAGTGTTGGATTTTTTTTTTTTCAAAACTGCCCCCAATTTACCATATTTAGTTAGTCCGCATTTATTTTAGTACATGTGTGAATGGGTACAAGCCAACTAGACAGCATGACCTTACAATTTTCCGGCGTCTATAAATTGCTCTGTTTCATCAAAAGTGGGGTCCGGGAACCAGACTACAAGATAGTTTTTTTGTGTGTATCCAGCATCTATGAACACAAAATTTCAAACTAGTCAGTGTAACAATATTTTGTATAAGCTACTGACCCCCTACATCCATCCACTTCTGAAAATTACGGCGAAAGCAAACGTTGTGTATCGCCTTCAAGATGTCTCCTGTTCTTGTCGTTTCAGAGAGCCCTTGCGTAGCAGACGGAGCCCACTGGTCCCTGAAAGAGAAGGGTAACTTTTGCCTGCTGGCAGATTTCCAACTGACCTTCACCGGGGAATACACAAAAAACGACTCGAAAATGGTGAGCAAGGTGCACCCAACCACAGAAATAAGATCTATAAATAATGCTCCGCGATAGACAAGGGGCGGTTTGAATAATTTCCTCCTATGTTAGATCTGTGTCATGTTGGAAGTACAAGAAGAAGTTGCTTCCAATCTTGCAAGTGCCCAGGAATGTGTGTTACATGTGTCTTTCTTGGATTGTTTCGCATCGTGCAATCCATTTTAATATTTTTTTTTTAGTAAAGACTTTTATATCTGTGCTCAAACAAATCATGTGAGATAATGGATACAAAAAAAATGTTACAGATAATCCATCTGGTCTTCCTTGTTTGTGTTTACCCATCTTCCCCCATCTTTCATCCCTTTCCACCCCCATACCCCCCCCCCCCCCCCCCCCCCGCATCATCCCTTCACTCCCACACTCTTTTGTCCGTTCCCACTCCCTGTGACCTTTGATCCTTCCCCTTTCTGGTCCCTCCCCTGTTCATACCAGACCCCTTGTGGTTTGCCATCTCCCTTTGTTTCTTTGTTCTCTCATCCACCCTCCCCTGCATCTTTCCACACCTTTCCCACTTAATCCTCCTTTTGTGTTTCTTCTTTCAGCCCTGCATGTTTGTGTGCACCCCCATGTTCATGTATGTACCTCTGTCATTTCTGTTTTAGCCTCTGAAGAAGAACTTGCTAAGGTCGCAACGTCAGGCCACATTAATTTTAAGATTTACAAAAAAAATGTGTTTGCAAGTAACATAAAACCTCATTGTTGTTTGTGTTCTGTTTTGTTCAATTTTTCAGGGTACGTTTACCGTCATGCTTCCCGCAGATGCCCGCATTGACCTGGCCAACAGTCATTGTGAGGATAGCAACGCCCCTATGGCCCAGGCTGTCTTGGCACTGACCTTCGATCAAAACTCCTTCATGCAGGTGTACCAAGTCGACAACAAGACGAAAACCTTCTCCCTTGTCAACGCCACGGCTAAGCTGATGCACGATAAAACCCACTTCCCGGATAGCAAGGACGCTGGTAGGTTCTGGGCATGCTCGGTTGAAGCCAGTGCATCTTTTTTTTTTAGCGCAGCGAGTCCTCGGATAATGTATAACATCACCATGGGTGTCACGAGGGGGGGGGGGGGGGTTGCAAGGGGTGCGCTTGCCCCCCTGGAAAAGCAAAAAAAGAAGAAATAAAGGGGTCGAAAATAAAAGAAAAAGAGGCGAAGTCATTTTTGCTGTTAATTTAATGGGTGGGGGGCAAATGCCCTGCCCACCCTTGAAAAATGATAACTTGAGAATATGCTGGAAAAGTACAGGGATTTCGTGGGGTAAATGTGCTTTGCCCCCCCTCTAGAAAAAACACCCATGAACGTCATATTGAAACCACATTTTTTTTTTTCTTTGCACAATATTTTCGTCACCTTCAATGTCTTGTAGTATGAACACAACCTTTAGTTTGCTTCTTTAAAGAAACGAGAGTCCTTAACCTTTTTTTTCTGTTTTTTTGTATTATTTTTATGGCAGCACCAAAATTCAAAGCTGTGTTGCATTTCGTTGCAGAAATTCTCTGCTACTGAAACTGTAGTCTGTCACTGTTGTCCGTCACTAAAATTGTTGTCCCTGTTTTTTTGTTTTCTTCAGGTAAGATCGTTACTTACGGTGGCGCGCTCACGGATCAGTTCCAGACTGGTCTAGGGGATTACTACAAGTGCTCGGCCATGCAGAAAGTAGAATTCAAGGAGAACAAGTTTGCTCTGAGCTACACCGACTTGAAGATCCAACCGTTTGATGTGCACATGACCTTCGGAAACGGTAAGAAGATGCTCTTGACCTCGTACCTTTTTGTCGCAAAACTCTGGCTGGATGGCATGGACTGTGCAGAAGCTGTCCATGTGGCTGTGACAATAACTGGAACACATGTGTCTTGTTTTGTTATTCGAAATTTCATCCAGTTTTCCTGCAAATTTGCATGTATCAAATAATCTAATCCATGCCAAACCAGGTGTTCTTGCTGCACTCGGAGAAATGACAAGTGCCAAGAAACGCAGTCAAGATGTGTCAGACTATATTTCTCGTTATAATTATTTCTCTATCAGACTCATTTCATTGCTTAAAGGGAATATACAACATTTGCAAACATCGAAAAAATAAACCTACCAAGTTTTTACGAAATACCTTACAAGGATGTTGGTAAATGACAGTCTAAAGCATCCTGTAAAATTATGGCACCTGGTGTCAAGTCGTTTTCAAGAAAATGGTATTTTTGTATACATTTCCAACGATGGTCAGCCGACCACCGTTGTAAAAACCTAACTATTTTTCAACTAAAACTCCAAATTTACAATTTTTTTTCAGTCCAAATTTTGTTTGCTATTGGTTACATGTTCTTGAACTGGTGCAGGCCAGCTGGACTGGTTCCCTTACCTTACAATTTTCCGACATCTATAAATTGATCCATTTTATCTTTAGTGGAGTCAGGGAACCAGACTACTTAAACATTTTTGTTTTTCTTGGTTTTTTCCAAGCATTTTCGAACACAAAACTTCAAACATGTCAGTTAAACAATATTTGATCTATTATACTAACCCCTCAAATAGTTCATTTCTGAAAATTACAGCAAAAGCCAATGATGTACATTCCCTTTAAAGACCATAAGGTGAAATTAAAAAAAAAAATCGCCTCCTGTCGTGTGACCAAGCTTGGTCACGCGAGGGCCTCAACACCACCAGTTGATAAAGACAACCGTGATGGTGTCGCAAGCTCCCGATACGAGCTCTGTAACCAAAGTCTGAAAAAGCTATCTTTTATTTAATTGATATAAAAATGGGACAGGAAACGAACTTTCATGCTCGATAAAAAAAAAACTTATTTTGTAAAGCCAGTCAGAACCTGGTTGGTTGTGAAGTGTAACCAACTGTACGCCCTTCTCGTCAAAAGGAATGTTTGGAATTGTAACATTTTTTTCCCCGTACCTTTTTTTGTTATCCCAGTGAGCCAGTGCGTTCAGGACACGCCAACTGCAAAGCCCCCCACGGTCCCTATGGGTAACTGGACTATCACCAGAGACAACAAGACATGCATGATGATGCAGTTTCAAGCTCAGTTCATCATCTCCTACCAAAAGGAAGTCGGGGGTGTAAGTTGGTTTTTTTAGTCTATTAATCATTCTAAATCCTTGAGGGTTGGGATTAAATCTCTCCCTTGGAGCAGTGCTCTCATTAAAAACGTTTTTGCTTCAAAATGTTAGCTTCTTTCCCAGCACTACCTTCGTCTCAGGCACTTGGATAAGTAAGAAGCCTTGACTGTCCAAACCAAACAGAGATGTCCTAGGATTACATGGCGATATTCTAGGATAGAATTTGATTTTTCTTATTGAGAGAGAGAGAGAGTCCCAAAAGTCAGATACTTTTAATCGTTCGTAGCCAGAGCTGTTGATAAAAGATGATGTCTCAAAACTGCCAAACTCACTGGTTTGACTGGAATCCTGCTGCTGCACAATTTTAACGTGTTTTTAGATGGGGTTATGATCGAGAATAAGCTTTATGTGGCCTCTCTGGACTCCCATATATTTTCACTAAGTTTAGTCGGGCACCAATTGCAGTCCTCAGCCGACATTTGAAGCAAAAAAAACAGATAAAAAAAAAAAGCCGCGTCGCCGCACCACTTTTTGGGCAAGCTCCATACCAGAAACCGGAGACTTCTTTTTTGTTTTGGCCTAACGTAAAACTTTTTTGTTAAATTTCTATCAGAAAACTGAGATGAGCAAAGTGGGTTACTACCTTCCCAACACCACCCTAGACACCGCCGAGTCCACCTGCGGCGACACTGTGGCCATGTTTGTCGGCGCCTTCTCCCCTGAAAACCTGAAGCCCATCAAAGACTGGGTCATGACCCTGGAATTCACCATGAAGAAAGACAAGAGCTACTCCATGACAAACTTCAGCCTGGAGTTCATGATGGATGACGCCTACTTCCCGGGCCTCAATAAATCAATGGGTAAGGGCTTCCTGACGTCAGAGGTTCTCGCCAATTTTTGGAAATAATTTGAGGCACAGTTTAACCCTAACTCCCCTCCCCGGGCCTTTTTGCTAGGATGTAGCCTCAATCCTGCAAAATCGTCCAATTGGCCTCGTGGGAAAACTAGCATATAGCCTCAATCCTGCAAATTCCTCCATTATTTCTTGAATATGGTCCGTGGAGGGGTGACCACTGCCTGAATCCTGCAAAATCCTGCGGCAGTGACTGTCAATATGTTGAGGCTTGGCCAGTGACATCCTGGAGCAGTACGGAGGATTTCAAGCATAATCCTGGCCTATATTTATGCATGGCTGAGCAAAAACAACACAAGGTCCGACCCAAGACCTTGACAAAGTGCATCCTACGAAATCAGTAACAGACTTTTGCCATGTAACCTCAGTCCTCCAAATTCCTCCACTTGGGCAAAGAGGAGTTTGAAGGATTCAGGGCGGTTAGGTTTAAAAATGTTCAATTTGTTTCTTTTGTTTCAATAGCACTTTTCAGATTTGCTCAGCTAATCGTTCGTGCAGCACATTGTCTAACTCTGCCATTTTGTTCCTTGTTTTTTTTTTTACCAAATTCAGCCAAGATGATGACCGTCTTCAACAACACGGCGCGCTTTGATTCCACAGCTGGCAATTACTACATGTGCAACGCAAACCAGGACATCATGGCCATGAACGTCAACGCAACCTTCATGAAGCTCAAGCTGCAGCCTTTCGCTGAGCAGGTCAAGGGCGGAGGCCTCGGAAATCGTAAGTTAAAATAAAATAAAATAATTATATTCAAAGTTCACCACAAAATTTGACTGGAGCGGGGTTTTGCACCTGTGACCTCCGGATTGCCGTTCCAGTGCTCTACCAACTGAGATATTCAGCCCTATGTTGGCGGTTCCACAAGTCAGGTTCTCGTTGTGGTTTATTTGAAAAGTGGAAAAAAAATCTTAAAGGGAATTATTCCTGCAGCACTTTTGTTTGCATCCTGAGGGAGGGGCTTGTAAAAACTGGGAGGGGC